GCTGGCTAAATCTCCCTCTCCGACGGCAACTGAACGGCGATCTTTTATGGCCGCCATTTAGAAGAGCCCAGCCGGGGAAAGAAATGTGCTGGAGGGGTTTGTGAAGAAATGAAATTGATTTTGCTGACCGGGACAAAGGAACAATGAAAGTATCCTGGTATTTAACACCTACTAAAGACACATTGTTCCCAGACTGAGTAAGCAGCGAATGGATATCAAAGGGAAAACTTTTTTTCTTTTCACTCTCCTTCCAAACGGAACAGCTTTGAGAGAAATCGGAAACCCGCATTGAAGGTATGCTAAATGCTAAAGACTGTGCTAATGCCAAAGGGATATGGATTTCTAAATATTTAAAGAAAATTTTTTCTTCTGCTGTGAGTGGGAAGGGAGAGGAAAAAAAAATTTGAAATTGAAAATAAGGAGCAGACTGCCTAGAATTTTAAAGAGCCATTTGAACATTAATAAGACTTCAAAAGACATATTATAATTGGAATTTTGTGATTTAATAGCAACCCCAGAAAAAGAAATGGAAGAAGGGAAAAAGTGCTAAATGAAATAGTTTATCTGGATTGTTTGGTGACTTTGTATCTTTTGGGAAACTTTTTTTTCTTTGTTTAAAAACACTCGGGTGGTTGTTTTGGGAAAAAATTTTCCTCTTCATAATGGCACCACTTTTGGATGAATTTAAAACTGAATATCTAAAATATAAAAAGGAAGAACAAGACTGGAAAGATACCTTGGACATTCTTTTTCAATCTCTAGAAATGGCGGTGCATTCCTATGGAGAATTGATTGCGCAGCAGGATAATTGGGACAAAGAAGGAACCATTTTTGATGAACATGTGACCCTATTGGTGGAGAAGAAGGAGGAAGAGGAAAAGGAAAAAGGGATTTTAAAACTTAAAAAAACAACCAAAAAAGATAAAAATGAGTTGAAGGGTGGATATAAGATTAGGAAAAAACAGGAAGGGGGAAAGCACAAGAAGGAAAGGGAGGTGGAAAGACAAAGGGGTGAACAGGGTAAGGAAAAGAAGAAGCAAGGGAGAAAGGAGGGGGTGAGAAGTCTCAATGATGGGAAGCAAGATTTGAAGAAACAAAATTTATTTATAGACAATGGGTAAATTTAATTGAAAAAGGGATTCTGTAAGGTACATAAGATTGTGTTATTATAGGCATTTATAGAATAAAATGTTCAAGATATAAATATATAAATAAGTATTAATAGGTACGATTAAAAATTTTCTTTCTCTCTTTATATAATATATTATGTGACTTTAGGATGTGCTAAACAGAATCCCAATACAAGTTATGTGTGATATTAAGTATTATTAGGTTAGGGGAAAGAGTTAAAGGCGTCATACTCTAATTAGTGTACAGGAGAGGTTTTGTTTAAAGAGAAAAAATGAATGGATAGTTGAGAACAGACAAAGAATGTTAAGTATTATGACTTGAACTGAGATGAGTAGAATAAAATTAAGAGAGTTAAAAAAAGGAAGAAGCTATATAGAAAATGGAAAACGGTAATAAGATATGGAATGATATATAAAAGGAACATGATTTTTGAAGAGGTGTCTGTATGATGAGTTTTAACCCGGGATCAAGCAACTTTCAGAAAAGATGTTTATATTTTTATGTTTTATGTCTTGTTTGTTTGTTTGTTTTTTATTGGAAGAGAATAATGAAAATGTATAAGACAGATGGATATAAAAAATGTATACAATCTAAAGTTAAAGAGATATAATTTGAATAAATAGAAGGAAAAGAAGTAAGAAAGAAAAGTTTGGGATAAGATATGAAGATGAACAGATAAGGTAAATATATATATCAAATTGTGCTTGTTTGGAAATGTGATAACTTGGAATAATTCTGTCTTTAAATAAGTTGTTGTATTGGCTTTTTAAGAAAAAAAAATCCTATGTCATTATATTTTATGTTTTGTCTGTCTGTGTATTGTTTTGGAAAATCAATAAAATTTGTTCAAAAAAAAAAAAGACCCAGCCTTATTATATGAGAAACACGGTAGTCATAGGATACAATAAACAATCGAATCATATTAGGAAACAGTCAATAAAATCATTAGGAGACAAGCAACCAGGTTACAGTCATACAGTCACAAGTGAGAGGGGATGGATAATAGAAATGATGAGAGGATTAATAGTAATAATAATAGAGACTTAGTAAATAATTTGACAGTGTTGAGATAATTATTTGTTTAGCAGAGTGATGGCATTTGGGAAAAACTGTCCTTGTGTCTAGTTGTTCTCTATAGTATTGTTTTGAGGGAAGGAGTTGAAACAGTTTGTGTCCGGATGTGAGGGATCTGTAAATATTTTCACAGCCCACTTTTTGACTCATGCAGTATACAGGTCGTCAGTGGAAGGCAGGTTGGTAGTAATTGGGTTTTTTTTTTTTGCAGTCCTAATTACTCTCTGAAGTCTGTGTCTGTCTTGTTGGGTTGCAGAACCAAAATTCTAGAGAAAATTAGGAGAAATGATCAAGTAAAGCAAATCAGTTCCCCAACCACCAATTTATTCTAGCCACTGTTACTACAGTTTGTGAAAAGGGCAGCAAATTCAAGAGAAAAATTCATTTACTCCTAGAAGGCCATTGACTTAAGCTGCAATAAAATAGACATCTGGAATTGATTTAAGCTGCAATAAAATAGACATCTGGAATTTTCTATTTTTTAAAAAAACAAACAAACAACAACAACTAATCTGCTTTAACTATTTCATTTTAGTTAAGGATGCTGGTTACTGAGATAATATTTGTAAATATTTCTTACACTATTATTCTTGACTGACAGTCCTAACACAATAAAATGAAATTCATTAAGTAAAGAGGAAAATGAATCCTTTTGAATGCCGTAAGAACTGGCGAACCTGACACAAAAATCAAATATCTTTGGTTGGCTTTTAAAAAGATGTCTCCAGAACCTCATCTTCTATTTCAACCCACTTATATCAAGTTCCTCAAAACTCTATTAATTATCCCTATTTTCTGTTTGATAAGTGGTGATGGTGATTGGTGAAACTCCAGAAATGCTCTTTTTATGTAATACCACCAACATTATGGAAGTTTCTTTTCCTTGAAATCAGATTGGTCTCTATTTCATTATTTCAGGAAAATACTAAACAGAGATCTACTAAAGAAGGTTTTTGATATACTGTTGGTATATACCAGCATCTCAGTTTATCTGCTTGCTTTTCGAACAGTTATGTACAGGTAGTCCTTGACTAAAAACAGTTCATTTAGTGACTGTTCAAAGTTACATCACTGAAAAAAGTGATTTATGATCATTTTTCACACCTACAATCAGTGCAGCATCCTATGATACATGAAATGGTTTAGGCTGTGACTATTTTATTATTGTGACAATGAATCTCTTCATTGTGTTGGGTTAAAAAATAGATTAAAGACAAACATCGCTGGTCTAATTGAGATAGTCTAAGCCAATATTTATCAGCCCTGATGACTTTAAGATGTTTAGATTTCAACTCCCATAATCCGAAACCCTTCACCTGACACCATACAGGTGAAAGAAAGAAAGAAAGAAAGAAAGAAAGAAAGAAAGAAAGAAAGAAAGAAAGAAAGAAAGAAAGAAAGAAAGAAAGA